GAGTGTGTTAAAATTTAAACGTTGCAGGTAAAGCATTAAGCAGTGTGATAGACACTAAATATTTCTTAGGAATCCTAGTGTGGCACTGTAGGATAAACACTGGACTGCTAACTGAAAGGCTGGCTGTTCAAACCCACCAGCTATTCCTATACTGGATAGCTATGAGGCAGAACTGACTCAACAGCACGTAATAACAACAACAACAACAACAAATTACTTAAAGAAAATAACTGGTCTTTGTAAAGCACTTGATAGATTTCAAAGCTAACAAATTTGATCCTCACAATAACCTCATGAGGTAGCCAGAGATAGTATTGTCACCCCCAATTGACAGCTTTGGATAGGGATGTCAAACTAGAGCCTGTGGGCAAAATCTGGCTAGCCACCTGTTTTGTCAATAAAGTTTGGTTGAAACGCAGCTACACACATTAGTTTACATATTGTCTCGGGTTGCAACAGAGACCATACAGCCCCCAAACCTAAACCATTTACGTTCTGGCCCTTTACAGAAAAAGTTTGCCGGTGACTGTTTTAGGGTATGAAGGCCTAGACTTAAGGTCACACAGCAAATCAGAGACACAGTCAACATTTGAACTCACGTCTCCGTCTCCCAACACTTAGCAATTTCTCTGAAGAAGATGGTCACCAGGATTCAAAAGTGCCAACTGAGATTGATATAGTTCATCTTCCCGATTCTTAGAAGGAATAGTCCTTTTTCTTTCTCAAGCCCTAGGTCCCTCTGTAAGGAACATTATGCTCAGAGACTCACTGGACCAGGAAGACAGGACTGCCCAGCCCCAGGAGCCCCGTTCACTTAGAACGCAATGTGAGCACACTGTGGATCCTCCGCTTAATGCAAGTCCACCCTACATGGATTTCTGCCAGTGTGCCCTCCAGCTGATTACAACATTAGCAAGAACTCCCAAGGAGGAAGATGTTCATTATGAGAGAGGCAGGTGGTTGTGTGTAAAGACAGGGCAAGAATAAGGCAGAGTGATGAGGATATCAGCTGGGGAGTTGGATTCGTTTACTTGTAAGATCACATCCTATTCTGAGAGCTTTTCTCAAGAAAGTAATGTGCAGACAGTGAAGTAGTAAGCAAAAATAAATAATAAAAACATTTTAAAGATCCCCTAAAAGAAAGAAGGGGACAATTTTCTTTTCTTTTAGCATGGATGAGGAAAACAAACCCCCAAATGAAACCCAATATTACCATTTTAAGAACTAACAAATGGTCCAAGAAATAAGTGCATTCACTCGTGAAAAGTTCCCACATGGCTTCTTGCTGCTTCCTCAAGTCTGATTGATCAGTGGGAGGTTTTTGATGTGTTTCCATGACTTCATTCCAGGTCTTATCCTGCACATGGGGAGAAAAAAAGTGAGCCGGACATTTCCACCCTGATGGTCTGATCTGTCCATTATTTGCTTTGGGTGGGTTCTCAGCAAGAACAAGTAATTCTCAAACTCATGATTGCCCTGCTGCAGGCTCAGAGCACCCCCTGTTTGTTCCTCAAATGACCAAACCACAACATCTCTGTACCTGACCCACTTTGGGGGGCCAGCACCCTCCCCAGTGCAACTATAGCCTTGTATAGTAAGGAATAACTAGTGTTAGTTTAAAATGAATGAAAACTAAAGTTGTTTTCAGTTACAATTCAGAATTTGAGTACTTTTCAGATTATTACAAAATGAAATGCTAAAAAAACCCAAACTCTGAAACAAGCTAAATCTAAAAAACCTGCATGCTATATGATTCCAACTATATGACCATTTAGAAGACAAAACTATATAGAGAGTTATTAAAAAGGTCAGTAGTTGTTCAAGAGGAGGTGGGGAAGGATGCTTCATGCTACTAGGGCGGTGGCTATGAGACATTATGCATTTGCCAAAGCCTGTGTAACTGAACCATGTAGCTACTGAGCAGTAATACAGGTGAGGGATTTATGGATACAATATGAATCCATATTGCTTCATCAATTCTAACTGTACAACACGAATGCAAGCTGTTAATAATAACTCTGTTCAAGGGGAGAGGTATACTTGGGAATTCTCTACACTTTTTGTGCAACTTTTCTGTAAACCTAACAGTATTCTAAAACATAATATGTATTAAAAACAAAAGGCAAATCAAAAGATTCATTTTAAAAAAGAACCCCAAACCCTAAATTGGGAATTTTGTATCTCAGGTTCCCCTGGCAAAGCATGTTGAAACCAACTCCTGAAGAATCAGGAAATAAGAATTTGAGAGTTCAAAGAGAACTTTGGAATTGTCCTGGCAAAAACAGCTGAATTTTCACATGGGGAAGCAGAGCCCCAGAGATGTGAGTAGGAAGGACTGAAGACTATGAGTATTTGCATAGACTTTCACAGTCCAATGGGAATCATTTAAGGTCAAATGATTACCCCTGCATTACAAAGAGCACGGGAGCAGGGCAGGTCCCACCCAGGTCCCACCCTCCCAGCACTCCTGCGCCTTGCTGTCATTGGAATGAGGCAATAATTAGACAATTGAAAATAACTTCTAAGAAAACCGAAGGCTATAATGATGGTAAAGAACACGTGGGATACCTTCAGGCCATGGAACTCATAGCCCCTGAAGTCGGTAATCTTCACAGAGGAAAGGCAGTTCTCCAGGTCAGATATGTGCTTGTGTTTGTCCTTGCCCTGCTCAAATATGGTTAGAAACAGGATTTTCAAACATAAATTCTTTAAGGACACAACTTTGGTAGCCTCAGCATCTTTGGTCCATTCTCTATCATTCATGAAAACACAGGATGCATTTTATCTTTAAGTCCTTTAACAGTTCCAGAATCACTTCTGAGCAGTGGTCGGAACCAGTAGTTAACTAACTGCGGTCCACTCATGCCACCCTCATGTGTGTCAGAGGAGAACTGTATCCCATAGGGTTTTCAACGGCTGATTTTTCCTAAGCAGATAGCCACACCTTTCTTCTGAAACCTCCAGCTTTTTGGTTAGTAGCCAAGTACATCAACGATTTGCTCCACTTTAGAGACCTACAGGACCATAGATTATCAGACCCAGAGAATAGAGGCCAGCGCCTAAGCTTCTCATTTCACTAATTAAAAAAAAAAAAAGCAAGACATCGAATAAAATGATCCTAAAGCAAACTGATAGACCCCAAGCCCAGTGCCCACCTAACAAAATGATCCAAACTCCTTCAGAGTTTTAATTTTCCAAATTTTGCATCATAGAACTTTAGCTTCAGAATATGCTTAAATAAATCCTAGAACATTCATGCAGTAATAGAATTTGCACAACCCAATAATTCTATGCTAAAGAATACCAGAATATGCTAGAAACTTTAGTTTCCTTAGAATGGAACTTAACATTGCTATAATTTTTAATAATGTTTGTTTTTTAAATATGATTACAAAGTTAATACATGATTGTTGCAGAAAATTTGGGAAATAAAGGAAAGCACAAAGAAAACAGAAACTACCCCTAATCCTTACCCCTAGATTACCTCTGAACACATTTTCCCTAAACAAATGCATAAGTAATTTTTAAATGGTATCATATTTGGCACTTAACAACAACAATCATATTTACACCTCTTTTGGTAATTTGTTTTTTCATTTAACATATCATGACTTTTTCCTTTTTGTTTTTCATGATTCAATATTCTGTTGCAACATCATGAATTACCCTTCCCCACTTGACCCGAGCTCTGGTAGCGTAGTGGTTACAAATCGGGCTGTGAACTGCAAGGTCAGCAGTTCAAAACTACCAGCGGTTCTGCAGGAGAAAGATGAGGCATTCTGCTCCTGTAAAGATTTACAGCCTCGGAAACCCTGTACAGGGTTGCTATGAGTCGGAACCGACTCCACGGTACTTAACAACAACAACAACAACTTGACTCTCGAGAAGCTGTCACATAACAGTGTGTAGGGCTTTATAACGTGAATGCGGCTGCATTTCAGCTGCATGTTTACCAGAAATAAATTGTTAACTTGTTGTAGTACTTTAGGGTGCATGGCGCCACCAAAAGAGATGGGAGTTAATTAATTTTATGGTAATGGAAAAAGAAGGCTAAGGTTATGCATTGCCTCTTGTGGATACCAGGGCTGCCCATGTGTCTGGAAGGAGACGCCGTGACAGCTTCAGAGTGTGCTAGAAGGAGCACCAACAGAGTTGTGGCTGCTTTCTCTGATAGGGCTATGACCTTGAAAGAGGAAACCTCTTGTAAACTCATTAGCTTCCACAGTAGCAAAAGAATCTTGGAGCCAGTTGGAGGACCTCCTACAGCAACTGGGACATATGCCTTTTGTTGATGTCTGAAACCATAGTGATGGCATGTTGTGGAAATAAAGAAGTCAGCAGCAAGTTGGAAAAGAAACAGGAGGAGACAATGGAAGCAGCGTTGGAGTTGAGGGCAAGTGGGCACCAGTTGCGTATCTTGAAGGGCATGTACTGTGGTTTTCTGTGTGTTTGACCAGCCTCCTGGCCAGAGCTCTTGGTGGAACTCCCAGTAAGAAGGGAGGAGACATTCCTCAGGGAGCCCACATTAACTCCTTAGAGTCACAAGCACATTTAGGGTTTTGTTCCTTCCCTTGGGAGGCATTTGAGAGGATAATGGGGGGGGAAAAAAAAAGGTGATAAGATTTATTTTAGGGTCTCAAATTTAGTAACTAAAAGGTGGGTGAAATGGGAAGGTGCAGAAGGCAGTATTGTTATTGTTATTGATGTGTTATCAAATCAGTTCTGACTCAAAGTGAGCCTGTATAGGATTCCCAAGGAGCAGCTAGTGAGATTGAACTGCTGGCCTTGCAGTTCACACCGACCTTGGAGCGCATTAACCCACAGCGCCACACCAGGGCTCCAAGAAGGCAATGTTGTTGTTGTTGTTGTTGTTAAGTACCGTGGAGTTGGTACTGACTCATAGTGACCCTACACAGGGTTTCCGAGGCTGCAAATCTTTATGAGAGCAGAAAGCCTTATCTTTTTCCCGCAGAACAGCTAGTAGTTTTGAACTGCCGACCTTGAGGTTAGCAGCCTGATTCATAACCATTACACTACCAGAGCTCCTTGCAGAAGGCAATAGTGACATGGAAATAGGTGTAGTTGGAAGAGCAATGCTGTGCCATGACTAAAACAGACTCAGAGCCAGGCTGCTTGGGTCAGTCAGGCCACTCCCTACTCTGCAGCTTATGAGCTGTGTGACCTTGGGCAAGCTACGCAACCTCTCTGAACTCCAATTTTCCTATCTTGAGATGGGTTGATAATATTCCCTACCTTGTTGAGTTGTTGTGGGAACTAATGAGTTAACATATGCAAACTCAAACACACATAAACAGAGGCACATGTAAATAGAAATTATGCCTGGCAATGTGATAAACATGATCTACATGTTTGCTTTCATTACTAATACTGTTATTGTGGTTGGACAGGAAGGACAGAAAGGAGGAAAGGAGGCAGGGATGGAATAAGGAATGAAAGAAAGAAGGAAAAGAGCTTGGAAGGATGGAGAAGAAAAACTCTATAACAGGTTGGGAAAATGCATTATAACTTAGAAATGTGTTTATTATACTGATGTGGAAGTATCATTTATAGAGAAAAAAATTACTTGGTAATTCAGGCCAAGAGGATAAAAGAAGGAAGTAGAAGCATGAATTTTTAAGGGACCAGATCTCATGTCTTTGTGAAAGTGAGCTTGAAGAAAAGAATTTCTCTTTGTAAGTTTGCTAAAAACCTCTTGCCATTCTATTAACTATGTATTCTGTCTTTGTGCACCCATGACAGACCAACTAAAACTGCACATGTCATTTAGGACATTTTTGCTTTCAATTTATAGGTCAGCACCACCTCTTCACTATGAGCTGGAAAAGGTCGTCTAGCTATCCCGGGTGTTTGGTTCAAAGCTTGACCCATACAGACACCCCATGTGTGTGTGGGACAAGCTGCTTCTTTATGTGGGGAAATGGATGGATTGTCACAACTTGTAGGACTATCCATTTCTTAGGTAAGCCCTTCCCTTCTGAAAACACTGCCTTTCTCCCTGGTGGCCTGTGGGCGATGCATCTTCTCTGGGGCCCTCAGACCAATGAGTGAGGGCCTCATTTATCACTGCCTCATTTATCTGAGGAAGGACACAGGAGAGGCTACAAGACAGACCTGCCAGGGCTATCCCAGAAAAGCAGCAAAGAGGATGGCTGAAGATCCCCAGCATCCGTAACAATGAGGTCACAATTCTTACTGCAGTTTACAATCTGCAGCTTGTAAGGTTTAGACCATGGCCCATATAAAATTTCATTCTGGCAAAAATAATGTGAAAACCACTCAAATACATGGCTATGAAGACAGATTGTTTTTCCAGTTCTAATGAGGAAATTGGGGTGCTGATTATGCATCGCTGCCAACCACAAGTGTGAATCTACTAGCAGCTCCCGTAGTGCACGACACGACCGACCTACAAACTGGGACTCAGGCTTGAGAAGTTTACTTTCTCCAGCGAGCTGTTTTCTAAACAGTGTCCAGTTAAACATTTAGGACTGCAAAGCATCATAATATTAGGACAGCTTTGCTTATTTTATTTTATTGAAGAGCCAGTTAATGACTGGCAATTAGCACTGTTTTATTGCATAAAAGAGCAACATTTGGTATGTTCTGTAACCCATGCTATGGATGTGATGAGCTCATTTACGCTGCTCTCGGCATCTGTCTTAATGCAGAGAAAAAGCAGAAACCAAAGGCTCTTCCATCTTCCTTTCTTAGCTTCCTCAAACTTGAAAACCAAACCCACTGCCGACTGAAGCTGACTCACAGCATCTGGGTCGGACAGACTAGAACTGGCCCAAAGGGTTTCCAAGACTGTGATTCTTTAAGGAAGCAGAGTGCCGTAACGTCCTCTCACAGAATGACTGGTGGGTTCAGATCACCAACCTTTGGGTGGGCAGCCAAGTGCTTTAAACTGCACCACTAGGGCTCTTTCTGATCTGTACTGCTGTTGTGAAGTGCCACTGAGTCGGTTCCGACTCACAGCGACCCTGTATAGGGTTTCTAAGGAGCAGCTGGTGGGTTTGAACTGCCGACCTTTGTGGTTTGCAGTCTAGTGCTGCTCCCACAGTGCCACCCCAGCAGTACAGATGTCTGTGGTTGTTGGTGGTGATGTGCCGTGGAGTCGGTTCCGACTCATAGTGACCCTGTACAGGGTTTCCGAGGCTGTAAATCTTTACAGGAGCAGAAAGCCTCATCTTTCTCCCGCGGAATAGCTGGTAGTTTTGAACTGTTGACCTTGTGGTTCACAGCCCGATTCGTAACCACTATGCTACAGGAGGCTTCATTAAACCAAAAATGGCATTGCGCAACACTTACCACTCCCTTCTTGGAGAAAGGCCATCTTGGCTTCTTGGACTCTGGTGAGTTAAAGAAAGTATATTATTACTTCGAATACCTAGTGACAGATTGTTGCAATGCTTTATAAACCTGGCTTTTTTAGTGAGTCAAGCAGAACTCATTCTGCTTTAATTCTTCTTCTCTTGAGAATACCCAGAATGAATATTTATATTTATGCTGATGGATGAATGAAGCAATTCTGCTACCTAAAGGTTGGTGTTTTGATGCTGGTTTAAGGTCACTGTGCCAACTTTCTCTCTAGAGTATTGTTTAGCTTCCCTATCACTTGAAGCAACAATAAAACATGCAAAAATAATCAAGTAATTTATTTAAGACAGTAAATCCTAGGACATTGAAACTGCAAGGACTGGTTCATTTTCTGGTAGCATAGTGGTTACAAGTCGAGTTGCTTATCTCACGCTTAGCAGTTCAAAACTACCAGCTGTTGCATGGGGGAAAGATGAGGATTTCTGCTCTTGTAAAAATTTACAGCCTCAGAAACCCTATGCAGGTTCACTATGAGTCGGAACTTCATGGTACATAACCACCATCACCACAAAATGAAGTCATGGTGTGGCACTGTGGGATAAGTCACTGGACCACAAGGTCAGCTTGAACCACAAGGTCGGTGGTTCAAACCCACCAGCAGCTTCTTGGAAACCCTAGAACAGGGTTGCTATGAGTTATAGGAACTAACTGGACAGCACATAACAACTTAACAACACCACCACAAAATATCATATGCAAGACTAGTAGTCTGACCAAACCTGAAACTTGGGGGCATATTGTTCTCAGGTGATATTGAAGATGCTGGTCCAGGACCACCTTTTGGAAAACACAGATGAGTTGTTATGGATTTAGAGTGTTTAGGATTTAGAGTGAAGGAGGAAACATGTGAAGGACACGTACTAATTTTTGTTGAGGTTAGATTGTATTTAGATTTGGCTAGCATTTCTAGAGGGACAGCCTCTGAACCTCTCTTGGTTTGTTCACTTGTTTTTGTTTTTTTTTTGTGGCTAACATATCAGTCAGTACACATGAAAAGCGTCTGTAATGAGTGAAGAGCTATACAAATGTTATGATGTCTTCACAGGGAGCTTCTTTCTGGGTTCCACCAATAGAAAACTACAGGTGTACATACAATGAACACTCAAAGCAGACTGGAAACAAGGGCAGTGGAATAGCAGACTAGAGCCTCAATCCCATCCCTCTGACACAAACTAACTGACACCATGCATGGACCCCTTATCCTTTCTGGGTCTTACACTGCACATATATGAATGAAGATGCAGCCTCATTTGTTGTTTTACTATCAGGAGCTCTAGATTCCTGGGGATGCCTTGGAGACGAGTCTTTAGGACATACCTCAATTTCAAACATTGCAACTGCACTTGTATGTGATTTGCAGATTGGATTTTCAAGTAAGAATTCCTTGTAAAAGAGGCTCTGTTCAGACCAAAACCGCTTTAGCAATCTCTGGATAATCTTGAAGCGTCCGTTCAGCTCTCAAAGGCTTTGATTTGTCTACCATCATGAGAAACATGAGGAGTGGATCTTAAGCACCACAATCTTTCTTTTCTTTCAAGCCGAGATGAAGATGCTAAAAGTTCATCCCTCATGCTGCCTCATTCTGCTGGACACTAATCTGTCACCCGCAGCTCTGCCTACACGAGTCACAGTCCTGAGGTTGAAGACCAAGAGTAGAGGCAGAGGGAAGTAAGTTACAGGGATTTTAGAGAAACTACCCACAAGTCTGAGAGAACATTCTCTCTGAGAAGATCAGCAAACTAGTATCACTGCACCAAGCTGGAGCTAAGGAAAATTATTTGATAAATTATTTGGGGGAAAGATTTGAAAAAAGGCCACATTTGTAAATAGGCAGGTATTCAGCTGTTGTGATGGTTAATTTTGTGTCAGCTTGGCTAGGTTATAATGGCCAGCTTAGTCAAACACTAGTTGTTATTGTAAAAGACTTTTGTTGATGTTATTAACATTTACAGTCAGTTGACAGTTGAATTTATGTGCAGGAGAATACCCTCAATCAGGTAGGTGATCCTCATTCAATCAGTTAAAAACCTTAAGAGCAAAAACTAAGACTTCCCAGGTGCTACTCAAGACTGTAACATAGAAATCCTGCAGGACTGTCCAGCCCACCCTATAGATTTTGGACTAGCCAGTCTCTACAAATGCAAGAGCCAATTCTCTCAAATGATTCTCTGTTCTATTGATTCCATTTCTCTGGAGAACCCAGTAATTGTTGGCTGGTGACTGGTGCTCCTGTTCTACCTGTTATTAAGTACTGTGAAGATCGTTCCATTCATTACAGTATCTGCCTTACAGAAGACATAGAATGAAAGGCTGCTGAATGAACAGAACCTGAATTCAGCAGCAGCAGTGGGTGGTATAGGTAATCAGCAACCCCATCTGACACCAGAAGGTCTCCAGGGAACACCTCCAATCCAGGTAGGTTCAACACTACAGAGCTCCGCCTGTGCTCGTATAACCTGTGTTCAGGAGATAAAAAGAGAGTGTAAAGCTGGGTTCCAGGCAGATTCATCGCTCATACCACGCTGGTCCTTCGGCAGAGGCTGCTAACTACCTGATGTCTGCTGACATATGAAGGGCTGTAGGGTCCGTGATGACACCTACCTCCCTCTCTTTGAGCTTTGTTGATCATTTATGATTTTGACCAATCCAAAGTAGAAGCGCTCACTTAGAAACATCAACACAAACATACCTTCCTTGTTCTAATTCAAAAGGATACTAGACGGAAGATCTTAGACACAAAAGTCTTTGCAAATCATGCACACTACAATTTATAAGACACGAGCAGAATGTATGGCCACCAGCACCCCTAGAGTTCCAAACCTGGTTGCTTGAAATCAGCCCTTTTATTTTTCTCAGAGAAAGTAAGAACTATCAGGAAAGCTCAAATTATTATGAATAGAATTGTGCTCACCAAAAACATATGTTTACATCTTAAGCTCTAGTACTTATGAATATGAGCTTGTTTGGAAATGTTGTGAGTTAACATGAGTTTGTACAGGAAGATGGTGGGCCCTAATTCAATCTGACCCATATCATAAAAGACGAGAAATGGGCACTGACACTCAGAGGCAGAGATTGAAGCATCTACAAACCAAGAACACCAAGGATTGCCAACAACCTCCAATAGCTAGGAAGAAGCAAGGGAGGATCTTCCTGTAGAGTCTTCTGAGAGAACATGGTCTTTCTAACACCTTGATTTTGGGCTTCTGGCTTCCAGAACTTGGTGACAGTAAATTTCTGTTCTTAATTTCAGGTTACTCAATTTGTAGATTAACCCTAAAAAGCTAACCCAAGATCTGCTTGTCTGTTCCTTTCTTCTATCCCATTTCATGAAACTTCCTACTGTTGAATGTTCAATAGGTTGACCTATCAGATGCATTGTAAACACCTCTAATAATGCTGGGAATTTGCCCCCTGATTTCTAAGGACCATCTTTTGTACTTTTTCCAGTTAAGGAGCAAGTAGTCTCAATCCCTGAAACTATCTAATAACAGTGACTCATGGGAATTGTCCTAACTTCCTTTTCAGAGCTGTTGAGCTATTCCTCTGGTCTATTCTAAGGGATGTGATCTTAGTTCCCCAGTGCTATTGTTACAGCAATAACACAGTGGATGACTTTAAAGAATAAAATTTATTTTCTCCCAGTTCTGGAGACTGAAAGTCCAAATCAGAGTCTTGGCTGTGCCAGCTGTAGGGATCTCCGAGTGTGCCTTAGTTCTTTGGTGATTCTTACATGGCATCTCTTTTCTCCAGTGTGTCTACTCGACTCTTTTTTATAACTCAGAAGTGATTAGGTATATGACACATTCTATATTGAGATGTTATCATCAGCATAACGAAGAAAATCCTATTTCTAAACAGGATGACATCCACAGATATAGGGATAAGGATTCCAAACCATATTTGGGGGAACACAATTTAATTCATAACAGATATGAAATGTAATTTCTTGGATTTATTGAGCAATGCAATCTATAAATTGTCTTGTTACCAATGGAGTGGCTTAACATATAGGTTACTTTATATACAAAGGAATTGTGTCTCAATTTACCAACAAAAACATAGTTATGGAATTGGCTTAAATGCTGAAAGCATAGCTTTGTCATAACCCTTTGGATACTGTGGTTTTAATCTACTGACCAGGCACGTGTCCCCCACAAAGTAGCTATGCCTGGAACCCTGTTAATCACCTTGCCCAGACCATGCCCTGCTCTTTCCTACCTACCTCGTACTCAAGGCTTACCGTGCTTTGTAGTCAAGCCCTGTTCTTATCTTCCACATGAGTGATGGCTTTTCTACCTGTACTTTCATCTCTAACCTCATAGCTGTGCTTTCTTGGTTCTAATATCATGCCCTGTCAGGCCCATCACGCTGCTGATCAAAGCTGGTGCACATTTGAATATCCAGCAGAATTTAGTATAAATACTCATGCCTCAGGCCCACCATTGACGACTCTGATTTGGTATGTATTTTGGGCATGTTGTCAGGAGGGACCAGTCCCTGGAGAAGGACACTATGTTTGGTAAATCAGAAGGTCAGTAAAAAAGAGGAAGACCCCCAGTAAAAAAGATGGAATGATACAGTGGCAGCAGCGATGAGCTCAAGTGTAACAACTGTTGTGAAGATGGCACAGGACTGGGCAGTGTTTCGTTCAGTTGTGCGTAGGATCACTGTGAGTCAGAACTCACTCAGTAATACCTAACAACAACAACAATAACAACAACAACAAACGGGTGGAACTCTACATCTGCAGTTCTACCAAATGCCCTAGATACTCATTAGAGTTGGAGAACAACTGATTTCCCTGTTAGGAGCACATATAGGCCTATCTTACCTCTTAAGGGTTATTTCAAATTTCTACCTTCTAGCTAAACTTGTTTTTCCTATCATTTTACTTATGAATAGTAGAATGAGTTGTTTAGGAATTTCTAATTAGTAATAACCTATGCCCCCATGAGTTCCTTTAAAGTATGGGAAATAAGATCATTGACTTTATGATTGTGTTTTATAATAAGACCTTTAGAGTTGCATCTTTTTACATCCCTCTCCTATTTATTATGTGTGTGTGTGTGGGGGGGGGGGTTCCAAATGTTAATGGAAAAACCCCATTATTTTTTAATTCCTTTTTCCATGAACTCTTTGAAACCCCTTAGTATTTACCAACCCAATGTCTATGGAAGTAAATGGTGGCTGAATTAGGTACGGGAATGGAGAAGTTTGCGTGGTAAGAATGAGAAACATAACTCACGTGTCATCATTATGGATGTATGACATTGGATGGACACACAGCATAATATCAGGAGTTTTTACCATGCTCTTTGGAAGATGTTGTATACATAAAGTGATTAGAGCTGGCCGAAAGAAAACCCCTGGAGTGAAATATTAGAAGCTTCTCTATCGTATTTGGACTTTTCTTATAAAGACTTTAGAAGTGTTTAATGAAATTTGGTGATCATGGAGTTGGAATTGGGTGGAGACTGGGAAACTAAAATAATTTGAATGAGAACTGTAACTGAAGTGAATTATGGCAGAAAAGTGCACTTTCGAGGTTGAGCTCTAGACGTTACATTATCCGATAAGTACTATGACTTTGGTGATTTTCTAAGATTCCATAAGCTGTCAACTCAGGAAAAAGCAAAACTATTGGTGAGGGAGAAGGATTCATCTTGCCAGCCACCCCTAGACTGGCTTAGGTTTCTCTTCTGTGCTTCTCTAGCACTCTTGTGCATTATCATCAAGTGCCGCTGAGTCAGTTCAACTCATAGCGGCCCCACATAGGGTTTCCGAGGAGCGGCTGGTGAGTTTGAACTGCTGACCTTGCAGTTCAAATCCACCTTGAGATCCAGTGCTTATCCTGCAGCACCATACCAGGAGTGATCTGAATGGTGGATTACAATGTGCAGTCATATTGCCTGGATTTTAATCTGTGACTTTGGGCACATTAAATAATTTCACGGACTCTTATGTAGTCACTTGTAAGACTTACATATTATAATGGACTCCTGGTATGGCCCTGAAGGATAATGGACTGCAATGTTGGCTTGAACCTCAAGATTGGCAGTTCAAACCTACCAACTGCTTCTTGGAAACCCTATATAGGGTCGCTATGAGTCAGAAGCCTCTTGTCACTTACCAAAAACAACACCTATTACAATAAGTTGTTTTGTAAAGAGTAGCTACATTAAATAATATAACACATTTAGAGCAATGTCTGGAATTTAGTAAGACTTCAATAAATGCTATAATGTAAAGAAAACAAAAATCTTCATCACTGGACTAATAAACAATATCCATATAAATGGAGAAAAGATGGAAGTTGCCAAAGATTCCATTTTGCTTAGATCAACCATCAATACTCATAAAAGTAGCAGTCAGAAAATCAAACAAAGTATTATACTGTGCAAATCTGCTACACCAGACCTCTTTAAAGTGTTGAAGAGCAAGGATGTAAGTTTGAGGACTAAGGTATGCCTGACCCAAGCCATGGTATTTTCAGCAACCTCATACGCATGCGAAAATTGGACAATGAATAAGGAAGACTACAGAAGAATTGATGCATTTGAGTTATGGTGTTGAAGAAGAATATTAAAAGTACCATGGGCTGACAAAAGAACCAACAGATCTGTGTTGGAAGAAGTACAATCAGAGTGCTCCTTGGAAGCCAGGATGGCCAGTCTTCATCTATCATACTTAGGACATATTGTCAGGAGGGACCAGTCACTGGAGAAGGGTATCATGTTTGGTAAGGTGGACGGTCAGAGAAAAAGAGGAAGACCCCCAACGAGATGGACTGGCACAGTGGCAGCAGCAATGGGCTCAGGCTTAGTAACGATTGTGAGATTGGCGTGGGACCAGGCGGTAGTTTGTTCTGTTGTGCATCGGGTCGCTGTGAGTTGGTACCAACTCAATGGCACCTAACAACAATTATGTTGATGGATGAATATATCACAATATAATGTTCTATGTATGTTTCTATCTTCTTTACAAGACTGATAGTTCTATAAGTTCAAGACATATGTCTTGGTAGGAGCTAACTTAGTCCTCAGTCCATTGTTACTGATAAACATGAATGACTGATATAATCCCATCTCATGGAAAGCATCTAACTTTGTAAAATAAGTTTGCAGGTTTATATCTTATCTTCCCTATGCTCCCGACTTCCTGTTCTAAATCCCCGTGGTTGTTGTTGTTATGTGCCGTGGAGTCGGTTCCGACTCATAGCTACCCTGTACAGGGTTACCGAGGCCATAAATCTTTACGGGAGCAGAAAGCCTCATTTCTCTCCCGCGGAACAGCTGGTAGTTTCGAACTGCTGACCTTGCAGTTCGCAGCCCAATTCATAACTACTACGCTGTTAGTGGGGCTCAAAAAGCCTTTGTTGAATAAATGAGACAATAACCAAGTTTGCACATGTCCACCATCATCACTGCCATCCTCCGACATGCACTCCCTTGAA